GCCTATACATGCTTGAACAGGGAGAAGCCTAGTGGATTTGAACAGTTTCAAGTACTTCCTGAAACTTTTGAGTTGTTTTCTTCCTTGGTACTACCCCCTCCTCTCCATCTCTCTCTCCCTCCCTCCCCTCTATCTCTTTCTGTGTGTATTTGTGTGTGTACAGGTGCACATGTGTGCATTCACATACAGGTACTTGTAAAGGCCAGAAGATAACATTAAATCTCCCAGATCTGGAGCTACTAGCAGTTGTGGGATGCATACTGTGGGTACTTGGAGATGAACTTTTATTCTCTGTAAGAACAGTAAACATTCTTAACCTTCAAGTTATCTCTCTAGACACTGAGAGCATTTATTTTAAACTTGTACCTATGATCTAATATGTATCTATTCAAGGGAATGTTTCCTGACTTGTGCTGGGTGAAAGTAGCCTTGGAAAATCTCCTGAACATTTAATTTTGTCACCAATTTTCTCTAGGATAACATGATCATATTGAGGTGGAATTGAAGTGGAGACCACCTTGGAAACTAATTGAGTGAATTGGTATAGGTGTAGGTCAGTCCATAGAGATAGTAAAGGAATCGTTAAAACTCCCTAGTAGAAGCAGAGAGTGGGGGTCACAAGACCCATAAGTAGAGTTCCTTCTTTCTCTCCTCCAGCTGCAGGTCAACTTGGGAGATGCTGTAGTATACAGGAAGTAGAAGACTAACTGCAGCTGAGAATCCATAATGCAGCTTCTATGATGGGCTGGGAGACTTTGTGGTGATGCAGCTCTTTGGGTATCACCCACACTTCTGGGATTAGACACCTGCTCAGTTCTTTAAGTCAATTGAATGAAGTCATTAGTCCGTCAGGTTGGATTCTAGTGGAGTCATCACCTTGGTCTGTCATTGGTGTCCTGTATGTGGTGAATAGACATTCATTCATGTCTCCCTGGTAAAAGTTAATTCAGCCTGTCTTCCCCTCTGCCACCCTCAGTTTCTGGTTCCATTTTCATATTGACCTTTACCAGGTACCATGGGTACTGGGACAATGTCAGACTTATTCTGATGTTCCTAGCATGGATACCACCATCCATCACACAGAAGACAATATTTGCTTATCAACATGGTGGAAAAACACTCCAGCCTGGGCATGCCTTTGCCCTGTTCCTCAAGCCTAATAGCTTTTCTAATTTAGAAAAAAAAATCTCTTCCATCTGTTGTTTAATTCCACAGAGATTTATGGCAGTCTCAGAGATCCTCAGACACGGCTTAAGCTAGCCTCTTTGCATGTCTCCTGCCTGTGAGTACAGAAGCAACTTGGCATTGTCCAGACAAGAAGCTCAGATACACAATGGGTAAAGGGACAAGGAGGATCTAGGACTCTTGGTTCAGAACCAAGGACAGTGCTGGATCCTTTGTCTTCATTGCTGAGAACTCCATCTCTGAGTGGACACTCAGACCATTTCAGCACTGATTAGAGACCATGGTAGAGGAACACTTTACTCATGCTTCTCAGGTAAGCAAACTGGACACCTCCCGGTGCTGGGACTGGAGAAGGAAGGGAGAAGATGAGACAGGTGGTAGTTTAGAGTCACATCCTCTGTGTCAGGTGCCTTGTTGAATTTTCTTGTTTTATCGCCATGAGTTCTCCTCAGCCCTGTGATGCAGTTATACCCACAGCCCTCACTTTAAGGATGGGGAAACGGAATACTGTCAAGCCTATGCTGAAAAGAAAAATGTTGGCTTTCATACTAGTTTAGGCTCTTGAATTTTAGTTCTGGGTCACATAATTCTGAGCCCCAAATTCTTTCCACCATAACAAGATTTCTCTTGAGGATGAGTGAAGCAGAGTCGGTGGGTTGAGAGGAGAAAAGGGCACTTGCGTTTTCAGCTAGCTGAGGGGCCCTGATCAAAGCGTGACCACGTCCTTTTGCGTTAGTTGTACAGTTTCTTGTTGGTTTTTTTGTCCATATTTGTCCATAAATTTATTGCTCTTTTGCCTTTCTTTCTGTTTACTCCCTGATTATTATTTATTACTTTATTATTTGCATGTGCATATATTCAGAGGTACATACATCACAGCACATGTGTAAAAGTCAGAGGATAACTTAGGGGAGGCCAGTTCTCTCCTTACACCATGCGATTCCCAGGGATAAAACTCATGTTGTGAAGTTTCATGGAAGGTGCCTTTACCTGCTGAGCTTAATTTTTGCATAGTTGCCTTCTATACAGCCCCAGGATCTAGTTTAGAGGCCAGGAGAAAGAGAGCTTTATAGTACTACTTCACACATGTGTAGAATAAAGCAATGATCATTAGCTTCAGAGCCAGGTAGGTCTTGGCTTGGTTCCTGGATTTGCTGCTTATGATCTCAGTGTCCTCAGTCAAGCTTCGTCCCTTTTCTGGGCTTGATTTCTTTGTCTGCAAGTATATGGCGTAGTGTCTTACTCACAAATGCTTGGCAATCTGTATTCATAAGACATTGTACATTCCATAAGAATGATATTTACATTTGGATGCTTATGGCTTAATCATAGTAGGTAGTATTTATTGTTTACCATGTTTCAGAAAGTTGGCACAGGTGAATCTTACTAGGCTAACACTAGAATAACTCATAATTTGTCCAGGAGGAGATGGAGCCTCTAGGAGAGCATGTAAGTTCTTCTACAATCACTGCTATTAATATCTAATGTTGAAGTTCAGTTCTATTTGACCCTTACTTGATGGTGGAGGTATACATTTTCAATGAAGATAATCATATTTGTTTTCAAAAGGCTATGAAGTATCATATGAGTTAGAGTAAGTTATCCAGGTTTATCCACTAATGAAGAAGAAAATAGAAAGCTCCTGTCTGGGGCCAAGTCTTGCTTATTTCTCTATGCTCACTGTGCTTTCCTGGGGCATCTCAGTGCTGATGCTGGAGGCATGCTTGTAAGATGAAACCACTCTTATCTATTTGGATCATGCACTTCGTAATTCTAAAGCTGCTTTAAAGCTAGAGCACGACTTTGTGGTGTTATCAACGGGACAGTAACTGGAAAAATATCTGTCACAGCAACCCACGGAAAAGAAAAGAAAATTTGATATAAGCATTCAGTGCAGCTGTGAACAAGAACAATTCCTCTAGGAAATTGCCACAACTGATGCTCTAACAGATCGGGTTAATGTTACCACTGTTTTCAAATCAGCAGGTAGTCAGACACAGAGTCGGAGAGATGAGAATTATGCTGTACCATAGTGTGTCCGGGGAAATGACCCACATCCTCAGTAGTATTAACAGACACTTAAAAGGGTTTGGTAAAATATTATCAAAATTAATAATAACTTGTTTCCATAAACTTTACTTTTTATTTTCTTGTGCCATCTCCACCACAGCTCATGGAAGATGATATAGTTTATTTTTAGTTCTACAGAGGAAAAACTGAAGCTTGAATAAATCCAGCATGTTGAGAATTGATATAGGCCCACAAAGAATCATTTTTGACTCAAGAGCCATTCTCCAGCTGTTCCACGTTGTGTCTCTTCTAGCTCAGTATCCATCAGAGCTCAGTGTGGTGGCTCACATCAGCACTCTCAGCACGTGGGAGGCTTGCTGTGAGCTAAAGGTGATCCTGGTTTACACAGTGAGTTCTAGGACAGCCTGGACCACAAAGTGAGACACTGTCTAAAGTCAATTCCAAAACCAAGCCCAGATAATTCAACAACTAATGTAAATTGAGCCTGAGTCCCAATGACATTGAATTCTTTTACTGTGAAGCTTCTGGAGGGAGAGACTGATGCTTAGAAAGCCACCCTTGATCCACCATGCATTATGAAAGGGTATGTACAGCTCACTACGTGAGGGACCTCGGCTGAGTGTGGACGACAGAGGCCTGAGTAAGACTGACATCAATCAATGCAATCTTCCCCCTGGAGGCTTACCAACTAGTTAGAAAGAAAATGACCAATGGAAAAAAGTCAGTGTTTTAGTTTTTTTTCCCTTAGGTTTGTTCATTTTATTTTATGTATAGGTATGTTTTTGCCCGGGTGTATCCATGTACACCAAGAGTATGCCTGGTACCAGTGGAAGTCAGGAAAAGGCATTAGCTAGCTAGTAACTGGAGTTGTGGGTGGTCTGGGCCACCATGGGGGTTCTAAGAACCACACCCAGTTCCTCTACAAAAACAGCCTGTGCTTTTAAACACTGAGCCAACTCTCCAGACTCCTCCCAGTCATTTAAACCAGTAGCAATCACTTTTACAAGAAGACTTAAGGAATGGGATAAGGAATAATGACACAGGATTTGATATGAGACTTCTGAGAGAGGCCTCTCTGAGGACAATGTTTTAAAATGAAAAGCAAGAATGTTAAGTGTTTTCCAGGCAAAAGGAACAGCATGTGGGAATTTCCTAGGGCTAGGAGTTTGGATCATTTGAGGACATGAAAAGGGAACCAGGGGGTCTCAGTTGATGTGCAGAGGACCTAAACCCAAATCATCTGGGATGAGTGCACCGGTTACTGGAATCCTGATGATAACCCATTATGATGAAGTGGGTGTGGTTCACATATTGGTAATTCTAGCATTCAGGAGATGGAGGCAGAATGATCAGGAGTTCAAGACCATTGTTAGCTATGTACTGAGCTCAAGACCAGCCTGGGTTACCTGAGACACTGTTTCAAAAAAAAAGAAATTGTATTGTGGAAGTTATCTATTGTAAGAATAATAAGGATGCATGGGCATTTTAAGGAGAAAGGAGTGATCTTATGTCAAATATATTTTGGGAAGACACCACTAGATGATACACAAAGACTATTATATGTCAAATTTAGAAGCATAAAAATCGAATCAGAAATGACATCAGGGCTGGCGAAACAGCTCAATGGGAAAAGGTGCTTGTAGCCAAGATCAATGAACTCAGTTTGACCCAGGGAACCTGTATGGTGGACGGAGAGAAACGGCCCCAGCAAAAAAGAGCCTTATAACCCTCATACTCATACCCCAGACCCTCTGCAAAATACATAAACACAGTAAAAGTTTTTTAAAGAAGTGATTTATGCAGTTGCGATAATGGTGTTGTTCTAGGGTGGGATCAGATACAAGGAAAGAGAGTTAGAAAAAAACTTTGTAGATGTATTTTGTTTTTAGATGGAGGAGTCACTTGAATTGGGCAACATGACGAGAGTCCAAGAGTTTGTCCTACTGGGCTTGTCCACAAGGCTGGGGATAAGGGATGCCCTGTTTGTCGTCTTTCTGACTCTCTACCTGCTGACACTCCTGGAGAACACCCTCATCATCTACCTCATCTGTAGTCACAGTGAGCTCCACAAGCCCATGTACTTCTTCCTGGGCAACCTCAGCTGCCTGGAGATGTGCTATGTGTCAGTCACCATGCCCACCCTACTCATGGGGCTGTGGACAGGAACCTGCCATGTTCCATTCACAGGTTGTATGACCCAACTCTTCTTCTTCATCTCTCTCATCTGCACAGAGTGCACCCTCCTGGCCTCCATGGCTTATGATCGCTATGTGGCCATCTGCCGCCCACTGCACTACCCACTCCTCATGAGGCCACAGGTCTGCCTGGGCTTAGCCTTGTCTTCATGGCTGGGTGGGTTGCTAGTCTCAGTGATCAAAACAGCATGCATTGCAAGTCTGTCCTACTGTGGTCCCAATGTCCTCAACCACTTCTTCTGTGATGTCTCTCCTCTTCTGAATTTGTCCTGCACCCACGTGGCCCTCACAGAGCTGGTTGACTTCATCTCAGCCATCGTCATCCTCTGGGGTTCACTCCTTGTGGCCATGGCCACCTATGTGGCCATTGGTAGGACAGTTCTGGCCATGCCATCAGCTGCTGCCCGCCACAAAGCCTTCTCTACCTGTGCCTCCCACTTGGTAGTGGTGGGCATCTTTTATTCAGCCACTATCTTCATCTATGCTCGCCCTAGCCGCATAGAAGCCATGGACCTCAACAAGGTGCTGTCTGTCATCTACACAGTGGTCACCCCCATGTGCAACCCCATCATCTACTGTCTGAGGAACAGGGAGGTGCAATCAGCTTTCCGTAGAACCATGCACTGGTCCTCAGTTTGACCAGGCACTTAAGACCATGAGGTGAGACATCAATTTACCTACATCCTACTTTTGTGTTAAGATATAATTCATATACCATTACTTCACCTTTTAAACACACACAACTTAGTGTTTGAATATTTTTACAAAGTAGTACAACCATCAACATTGCAATTTAATCATTCCCAGAAAAATACCTATATATACTGGAAGTCATTTCCTGTGGTATCTCTACTCCTTAAAAAATCACTATCTACCTTCTATGTGCATAGGTTTCCCTGTTTTTGATAGTTTGTAGACAGGGAATTATGCAATGTCACCAATGACTCCTTTTACAGTTCATAATGCATTACATTTCTGAATATTGTAGAAGGTATCCGTGAGTCATTTATTTCCGTGACCTAATCATATTGTTTAACATGGACAGACTATATTTGTTTGTCCGTTCATTGACTGATAGTTTGGTTGTTTCCAATATTGGGCTATTGTGAATTGATGTTTGTGTGAACACTTATTCATAACTTTAAAAGCTTCTATTTTTATTTACTGATGTATTTATTTTTTTATTTGTGTGTGTGTGTATGTGCATGTAAGAACATGTATGTATGTATGTATGTATGTATGTATGTATGTATGTATGCATGCAGGTCCCTGCAGAGGCCAGAAGCTAGAGGTTGGATCTCCCAGACCTGCAGTTGCAGGTCATTGTGAGCAGACTGATGAGGTTGCTAGAAACTGAGTTCTAGTTCTCTGCAAGATCAGCAAGTGCCCTTACCACTGAGCTATCTTTCCAGCCTCATAGTTCATAACTTTTGAGTGGAAGTGCATTTCCTGTTCTCTTATTCTTAAACCCAGGTGTAGAATTGCTGGGCTTGTCATATGTTAACGGAATGGCTGATTTTTTGAGCAACTGACAAACTATTTGGCAAATGTTTAATACCTTTACTTTTAAAACATACTTTTAAGTTACTTAAGATTCATATCTTAAATTTATGTATACATTTTAAGTCTCTCACACATATATCTTTTGCAGATGTATATATAAGGTGGGCTCCTATGGGGGTGAAGGGTACCAGTGACGAGGGATAGAGACCTATAGGCATTGTGAAGGACAAAGTGTGTATGAAAATGCCACAATGAAATCATTATTTTAATTTTTGAAAACTGTCGGTAAGAACCCCCCAAATATATGTTCAGGGAGGTGGTGGTATTTATAAAGAAGTAATAGCTGAAATAACACAAGTGTTCAATGAATTTAAAGGCCCCATTGGCCCTCATAGAAAATGTTAAATAGAAAATCAAGCCACCACTATATCACGTTGGGGAACATTCAGCAGGTTTTCACATCCTGACCTCTTTAGATTTTAAAAAAGATAAACGTGCTTATTTATTTCTGGGTGACATACTAAACTGTTCGAACTATCTTGGACAGTAACTACTTGCCAGTATAAAATGCTCAAAACTAGTTGTAAACTAATTATTAATTACATAATTAAAAACACTCCAGTTGAGAAAATGGAAAATGATGTTGATTGTAACATTGTGTCAAGTGTCTGAAACCAGAATGAATGATAATATTCAACAATAAGACAATGACTGAATATATGATGCTATCTCCATATAGTGAGATGTGATATAAAAAAGGATTCAATGTAGTTGTGCTTATTCATAAAATGTATGTAAAGTTTGTAACCTGAAATTTGAATTTTAAAGTAAAATTATAATTTTGAAATATTTGAGTAAGATGCCTTTAAACAAAAATGAAATACATCTAATGAGCATGTACACAGGGCTTTTTCAGAAACCAAGAAAGAATCAAGGACAGTGTGAATTTTTATTTATAAACTTCAATAATAATTAAAACATATTAACGGAAACTGATGCAGTTGTCAGGGGATATTTGAAAGTATGCATTACATATGTGAGTGTGTTTGAATGTTGACTCAGAACATGACGAAAGAAGCTTTGCAAAGAAAATAATTTAGGATATTTTATGTACATGTAAACATCTTAAACGTTTTGTGTTTTAAGAGAGATTTATTTATTTATTCAGTGTGTGTGTGTGTGTGTGTGTGTGTGTGTGTGTGTGTGTATGTGTGTGTGTACATGCACACATGTGCAGATGCTGTCAGAGACTAGAAGATGGCATCAGGGCATCAGATTCACGTGGAGCTGGAGTTATGAGTGGTTGTGAGTTCCCTGATGTGGGTGTTAGGACCCGAACTCAGGTCCTCTGCAAGAAGAGGCCATGCTTTTATCTACTGCGCCATTTCTCCAGCTCCATTTTGTGCTTTTAATGGAGAACTATTGGGGGAAATTCAATTATAAATGTCCAATGATATAAACTATCACATCCACCCAAATGGTGTGATAAATACAGAGCCCAAGTACCTAGCTATAGTTACTCATAAGTATGTCACAAACTATGATGGTTACCTGTTGTAATGCTGAAAGTTAGGTTACAAAACCATGTCTGGAGCTAGAAAGATTGCCCAGTGGTTAAGATCACAGGCAGCTCTTGCAGAGGACATGTGGGTTCCCAGCACCCACACAGTGGTTCACTACCATCTGTAACTCCAGATTCAGGAGACCCGACACCTCTTCTGGCATCTGCAGTCACTAGGCACACATGCAGCATACATACACATGTGCAGACACAACACTTATACATAGAAATAAAAGTAAATAAATATGAAAAATATACCCAGCTTCATGCAATATGCCTATGTTTCAGTTTTTGAAAATACATTTGGAGGCTCAGGATATTACTCGGTTAGTTGAGCATGTGCCTGAAATGCACAAAGTCTGGGTTTGAGCCCAGGCTCTACATAAATGGGGTGTAGGCTGCGTGCCTGTGATCCCAGAGCCTGAGAAGTGGAGGCAGAAGGATCTGGAGTTTAAGGTCATCTTTGACTACACAGTGAATTCAGAGGTATCCAAGGCTACATAAGACTGACTCAAAGAAATTTAAAAATGCAATTTCTATGTAAGAACTAGAATAGGTTTTAGAAATTATTGCCTTAAATTTTTAATAATGATTATCTTCATGTGGGAGACATTGCTTCTCACATTACTGTCTTCTGTCAACTTACTCTGCTAAGCATGTATTTCTTCTATAATAAAAATATTTTATCATATTTCACAATGCTCACCTAGTGGTGTTGGCAGACATTTTAATTTTTTTTGAGTCAGTGGAACTTCTGCCTCTTTTTTTCTTGTCTTGTAACAAACACTTATGTTCATGTGATACCCCTGAGAAGCCACGTTCATATATACATCCTACAAATAGTTCCAGGTCTCCATATTTTCACCCTTGGCACATGGCATGTCACTCGCCATTTATTACAAGATTTTATAAATGCCTTTTGTAGGTTCAGTGTCTTTCATTATCTTGGGAGCAGCTGGAGAGCAGTGATTGGATTTCACATGCCTGTTTGATGCCAACATCTGATACAAGTCCTTGGTCCTGTTAGGAGTTACAAACTATCTGGGAACTGATTTGGAACCAATGCTGCCTTTGGGTCACCCTCACAAGCCCCAGTACAACCTGATGAAAAGTTTCACTTGAATTTTTGCTCCAAACCCACAGAGACTAAGAGCCCTCCAAGGCCCAGCTCTTGGATTTAAGTTGGCCCTTCTGCTTGCAGCTGGCTGGAAGAACAGCACTCTCTTAAAAACACAAAAATATTGAAATGTGGAAAGCCTACTTGAGAACTCATTGCCCAGAACTAAAGATAACTTTTCCAAACAGTTGGCTTTGAATTTATTGTCCAACCACTTAAGTCGCTGACATCTTCATTTATGTCCAGGAGAGAAACTGGATGTTATTAAAAAGGAAGAAAGAAGACTCACTTTGCCTTAATAGAGAGGTAAGAGGGAACAATCATGTGATTTCAAGGAGAATAAAAAGGTTTTCTCTCCTATAGAATGTCTATTGATGCTAGGAACAGCCTGGATGATACACAACTTCATTGGAATGACTCTCCATGGCAACCATAAGAATTCAAGGCCATCTAATATCAGAAAAGTACATTGAAGAGTAGATTAGCTGGATAGAGGTTGGGAGACTAAAGGGAAGAACTGGGAAGATGTGAATATGTTCAAAATGCATATTATATTTAAAAGTAGTTGTTTACACCTACCTTAACACTGTTTGCAATGAATAATACAACAATAAGATATTTTTAAAAATAAAAAATATGGGGTATCATTTTTTATCCTGCAGATGATTATGTGAGGTATTTTTTTGAGTCAGGGTTTTTCTGTGTAGCTTTGAAGCCTGTCCTAGAACTTGCTCTGTAGACTAGGCTGGCCTTGAATTAACAGAGATCTGCCTGCTTCTGCTTCTCAAGTGCTGGGATTAAAGGCATATGTCACCACCACCAAAAAAAAGTGGAAGATTATGTGACCTTTATAAGGCCTTTATAAGGAATATGCAGACAGAGATAGATTATGACCAGCTTAATGTCATTTACAAACTCTGTTCTTAAGTTGGCAGTACATTTCAAGGTGAGATTCACAAAGTCAACTTATTGGGTCAATGATAATATTGAATAATATTGTGTCAATAATAACATTAAAATGACACAGAATAGAACATCGTCAGTCATGTATGTCATAAGTGAAGACACTGTCAAACCTAGTTATGTAAAGGTGAGTGTTATTAAACTTTTAAAAAGGTGTCCTTGGTGTTTATGTATACATGCCATTGTGATATATTCATGATGGAAAATGCTTTCTTTTTGTTATTCATATAAAATTACTTGTGGAGCGACATGTCTAAGTTATGCAATACCTGGCACTCAGGCAGCAGGTAAAAGCTATGATGCAGTGTCCTTGTGTAACAGATAATTCAGCAGAATGTACTGTTAGATCTGGATATGGTGCCTCATGCCTGTAATCCTAGAAATCGGGAGACAGAGTCAGAGCTCAAGGTTATCTTTCACTATATAATGAGTTTGAAGCCATAATGGACTATATTAGGTCAACTCTCACCATCCATATATGTTTTTAAAACATTTTTGACTTATCCCAGATAATCCAGTACCTTTTAAAATGCTGTCATCATTCTTGAGAAAACCAGTCAGAATCATGGGCATCTTATGTTGTCAGAGAGGGAAGGTAATATAAAGAAACCTTCAGGAGATGTTATATCAGCTGCAGGGTGTATAAAATGGAAAGGATGGAAGAGAAATGACCACAGGATAAGTAGACCAGAGAAGGAAATCATTCCACTGAGGAGGGAAAGTTTGTAGTGGAAGATTAGCCGGAACTATTTCGGTACCGCGGACAGCTCCACGAACCCAGAGATGGCCGACAGGGCGCAATCCAGGAAAGCAGACACGGTTTCAGCACCCGGGACAGCTCCAGGGTAGTTCAACTGTTTCAGGTACAGGACCTCTTTGCTAGTGTCACCGGTTAGGTGTCAAAGGAATCCATGCTGACCAGTACACAGGCTGGCGCCCTGAAAAACACTGTTAGCATCATCTTTGAGTCTTAAACAGGCTTGTTTGGAATAAGTATTGAGCTTCTGTATTTATAGAAAATATTTTTTTAATTAAAATTATTTTAATTTGTGTGTGTGTGTACATATATTTATGGAGGGTAGATGATAAGTTATGAATCAGTTATTTTTTGTGTTATTGGGTCATTAGGCTGGGTGATGAGTTTCTTTACTCACTAAGCCATCTTGCTGGCTTAATATTTTTCAATATTTTATCATCATCATCATCATTATTTATTGTGTGTTTTGTGTATAATGTGTCATAGTCATGCAGGTATACATACACATGCCTCAGCATGCATGTTGACATTAAAGGACAGCTTTCAAAAGTCAGTTCTTTCCTTGCATAGAGGATTCCGGAAATGGAACTCAAATCAATCTTCCCAGCCTCTAACATTTTTTGCAGTTTTGTTTTATATAAGTGATCAATACCAGTTGTATGCTTAGGCATCTTCCCTTTTGCTCAGGAGTACGCTTCTGAGATTGGCCATGGAGGATGCTAGATTCATTTACTTACAAAGTAGCACTCCATTATATAAAAAAGGCTTGATTTATGTATCATTTTTTTGGACGTTTGCAAATGGCACCCAAACGTGCTGCTATTAATGTGACTTTGCATGCAGCAGCCAGACTCTAAAATTTGTTAGATAGTGGTTACTGCTTCGTTTTCAGAGTCAACACTCACCTAGGCCCCCACCAAAGTGTGTGAAAAGCATAAGGTGAAGTTTAATGTGTCCAAGAGTTCATCTTCACGACAGCTCTCTGGCTATAAAAACTGATATTTCATTTCAGCTTCAATTTCTGTTTCCTTGTTTCCTAATAAGACGAGAAATTTTCCTAGTTTTTAGTTATTAGTTATTTTTAGTAAAAGTATACTTTTAGGACAATGATCTCAACCTGTGGATCATGACTCCTTTGGGGTGTCACATATCAGATACCCTGGACAGCAGATATTTACATTATGATTCATAACAGTAGCAAAATTACAGTTATGAAGTAGCAATGGAATAATTTTATGTTTTGGGGTCACCACAACACAAGGGACAATATTAAAGAGTCCCAGCATTAGGAAGTTTGAGAACCACTAATCTAGGACTTTATCTAATTTTTTTTTGATTGGTGAAAAATCTGCTCTCCACACCAATCAACCAATGTTTTAGAATATTCTATAGAGAAGTCCCTTGTCAGTAACATGCACTTGGGGTGTTTTCCTCCTACCTTGTGACTTTTTTCTCCCTGGTGATCAGAACTTCACTGGCCTTCCAAATTTTAAATTTTATGAGGCAGAAGTTTTATTTTTTTAAATGTCACTCTCTTATTGAAAATCGATTATTTGCTCACAAAACATATCATGATTTGGGTTCCCCCTCCCTCTGCTTTTCCCAGTTCCTCCCCACATCCTCCCTCATCTAGATCAACTCCTTTTCTGTCTCTCACTAGAAAAGAGAGATAATATTAAAATATAACAAAATAAAATATAAGGAGATAAAAATGTCACAGCGAAGGCAGACAGGACAATCTAACAGAAGGAAAAGAGCCCAAGAGAAGTCACAAGAATCAGAGACCCGCCGGGCGGTGGTGGCGCACGCCTTTAATCCCAGCACTCGGGAGGCAGAGCCAGGCGGATCTCTGTGAGTTCGAGGCCAGCCTGGGCTACCGAGTGAGTCCCAGGAAAGGAAAGGCGCAAAGCTACACAGAGAAACCCTGTCTCGAAAAACCAAAAAAAAAAAAAAAAAAAAAAAAAGAATCAGAGACCCATTCATTCACACACTTAAGAATCCCATTGAAACACTAAACTGGAAGCGATAATACATCCGCAGAAGACTTGGTGCAGACTCATGCAGGTCCCACGCTTGCTGCCTCGGTCTCTGTGAGCCCATATGATCATTGATGAGACAGCCATTTTAAAGGCTTTTCCTTTGTTATTGTTTTATGTATTGTTATTGTTTTATGTATTGTTTTATGTCATAAAGACATGCTTCTGCACTGTTCTCTGAAATTCTCAAGATATTTTTTTGCATAAATAAATTAAAATTTGACAATTTCATACAGATATACAATGGTTTCAACAGTTTCACCCCAGATGCTCTCTCTTATCTGCCTCACACTCTGACTACCCATTTCTTCCTCCCAACTAGACCTTTCCCACTCTCCAGTCATCCTTCTTGTGCGGTTCTTGTATAGGTAGCCACAGCTGCATTGTGTTCAGGATTTCATTATCCTGCTGCAGACAGGATTTTATAGGACCCCTCCCCATCCTCCAGGCCCAACAATCTCTCGCAATCTATCTGTCTATCTGTCTGTCTATCTGTCTATCTATCTATCTATCTATCTATCTATCTATCTATCTATCTATCTATCTATCTATCTATCTATCATCTATCATCTATCTATCCATCCATCTTTTGTGATGGTATGTGAGACTTCTCTGGCCAGGGAAGCTTCTTCTTTGCAGTTGGTACCAGTTAATACAGAAACTTGTAACTGGCGCAAATGCTGAGGATACATGGCTGTTCAGTGCTCAACCCTGAATGGGACATCCGCATTGGATTTATAGTTTCATCTGATGAAATATAGTGCACTTGAAGTGTGTGTGTGTGTGTGTGTGTGTGTGTGTGTGTGTGTGTGTGTGTATGATATAAGCTTTTACTTTATTTTTGTTTTGGTGTGGATAACTAATTATCCAGACACAGAGTTTTCTGATCCATGTGGAGGGCTTTCCCACCAGTTCAACATACGGGTGATTTTTTTTCTTCCTTATTATTCAAGAATTAAATGTTACTGTCCTGCCCAATGAATTGTTCTTTGACTCTTAAAATAGTTCTCTCCAGGCCTGGACAATTATAGGCATCCTAGGCTCCCACTACTTCTTTAGCATCTGTCCTCTGAAATTCTTTCAGTGTGTATGTGTGTGTGTGTGTGTGTGTGTGTGTGTGTGTGTGTGTGTGTGTTCATGTAGAAGTCAAAGGGTGACAACATTTGGTGAGTTCTTAAGTCTCTTTCTAATGTAGTTTTGAAGCAGGGTCTTTCGCTGGCCTACGGGTTACAAGCTTGGCTAAGCTCTATGGCCAGTGAACTCCAGGGATCCACCCAGCTCCTCCCCAAAGCCAGCACAGGAGTCACAGTTATGCGACTACTCCAGAGTACCCACTACCTCATTTTTACATTTGACCTTTCATTTGAGTTTTTTTTAAATCTCTCTTTACCTAGAATACAATTCTCACTGTTTATTTCAGCTACCCGGTACAGACCATACACCAGATATTTGCTGCTGAATGGGCTGAAACACTGCCCTGTCCATGCTTGACACTGTTTCTCATAGTGTCAGTGGCACAGAACAGGACCTGTCACAATTCCTTT